TCGATGGAAAAGTTCTACCATGCCATTTGCTTATAGATGGCAGACTGTCGTTTGAAACCAAGTGCAATCTAAAAGTACGATTAAAGCGCGAAATAATCCACACTCGAATTGCGCCCACGGTCGAATGGCACGCTACAAGGTGATCCAAAGCTTATGACCCATCTTTCAACGAAGATACGTGGACAGTTGCAGCATTACTATCCTTACTGTGGCCATCTCGTAAAACGATCCACGCAGGTGGAAAGATAAGTGCTTCCATTAGGTTCTGGCAGAGGTCCTGAAATGTCTTTATGGACGTGGTCGAAACGGATGTCTGCGGCCAGAAGAGAACCTTAGAGGATTTTCCTGCATCGCATGACTTCACACTTCTGACGAGCTAAGCACGTCTTTGTTCATTCCTGACCAACGGAAACGTTATGCAGTGGGCCTGATGGTGGCTTGTACGCCTGGATGGGGCAGTTTGTGCAGAAGACGTTGCGTCAACGTCTCTTCGGAACCGTTGGGTGTGGTTGACTGGCAGAGACATCACATATAACTGTATTCTTGCCTGACCCCACTGAACATAATTGTGGCTTGAGAGTTGTGGACAACAACACATGGTGCAGCTCAAGGCCTTTTTTGAGACCGAGTTAGTTCAGTGAGATCAACCCCTTCGATATTGTTTATCGAACTTATTCGAGAGACTGAGTTGGCTATTGAGTTATTTCCTCCTGGAATGTGGCAGATATTTGACGCTAACTAGGAAGTGTAATCCAGTTGTTGTGATTCACGAGGTGAGCACTTGTCAGATGCCAAACCAAGATAGAAGGTTAACGGTTTGTGGTCTGTGAAAATAATCAAGTCACGACCTTCAAACGAGTCTCGAAAATGGAGTACAGAACAGCACAAAGCTGGGAGTTTCTTGCCAAATGTATTGTATCTTGTTTCCACCTCTTGCAGTCGCTTCGAGAAGGAGGCTAAAGGTTGCCACTGGTTGTCAGACAACCGTTACAATAATAATAACAATATTCATTCTTGAACATACGGGCACGCACCAATTTTACAGGTATGAATGCATTTCTACATAATTTACGGCAACTGTTGCGAAACTGCTGATACTACTAAGCCAGATACATCAACAGCGATACTCGAAGGAGCTTTGGAGTCGTGATGCATTAGCATGGTTGCTTTTGGAATAGCTTCCTTGACTTCAGGGGAACCAAGTCTATCCACGTTGTCCAGAATCACGCATTTATGTTCCCTCAAAGTAGATCTGTGAGTGGTCTCATGAAAGAGGCACGGTTGGGGATAAAACTTCAGTAATAGCCTTTCAGGCCATTGTCAGTGCAGAGCTACTTCACAATGGTCGGCTCTGGATAGCTCATAAAGGCCGCCACTTTATCTCTCAATGAGCGCGTGCTTTTGCTGTCAATGATATGTCCAAGGAAGCTGCGTGATTCAACTCCTTTTTCACACTTCTGCAGGTTGACTGTGTTGCCACGTTTTATTAGTCTACTGAATACAAGGTCCAAATGTTTAGGGTATGTTCCCTTATCTGGGCTTGCAATGAGACGATCATCGATGTAGACGTGCATAAAATTTGGACGACGGAAGGCATCACCCGTAAAGCACGGGAATGTTTGCGCTGCATTCCGAAGACCAAATGGCATACTCAGGCATTTGAACAGGCCAAAAGGAGTAACAATGGCTGTGCTCGCCATGTCTTCTCTTGACATAGGTATCCGACTGTACGCTTTGACCAGATCGATTCTGGAGAAAATACTCCTTCCGCATAACGTCGCAGTCATGTAGTAAACATGAGGTATCGGGTAGCAGTCCGGTGTTGTTTCGGCGTTGTCACTGGTAATCACCAGTTGGATGCCCTTTGTTGCTGTCCTTTTTAGGAAGCACATGCAATGATAATACCGAAGGGCTACTTGAGGGTTTGATGATGCCCACTTCGAGCATGTAGCCGAATTCACTTTTCACCTTTTTGAGCTCATCAGGGACTGGAAGGCCTGCTTTAGATGCCACAGGTGGGCCTGTGGTCATGATGTGATGCACAACGTTGCTGGTTATGCACGGAAGGGCGCGCGTCGGTTGTTGTAATCCTGGATATTTCTCCAAAACTGCCTGATAGGACACGTCGCCCGATTGCTTGGTTCTGACGATAGCTAAACTCGGACCTACGTTGGTGGTGCCACCAATAGATAACTTTATGTTGTTATCTACCAGACGTCAACGACGAGGATCTGCGAGTATATCGTGATGGTTCAGCAAATCTATTCCAATGATAGGCATGGAAACCTCGACTAGGAGTAAAATTCGGTGAATAGGTTTGCGTAAACCTAAGTTGAGGAGGCATACCGTCCCCCAAATGTTGCTATCGCCTTGCCGTTAGCTGCTTGAAGATTGGAGGATTGGCCATGATAACGCTCCTTTGTGGGTGTGGGAAGAACGCTAACTTTCGCACCGGTGCCTACGAGATAGCTGACTTTGGTTTTCATATCTGTTGCGTAAAGCAAACGGCTGTTTCCCCCGGCCACGGTTGCCGTGAACGCGTGCCGGCGTGACAGTTTCCAGAGTTTGTGTCCATGCTGAAGCTACGTGGCTCCCGGCATTTTCTGACCTCGTCCCCGTGGGCCCTGTGAAACCAGCACCATTTAGGGTTTTCTACCCTGTGAGGTTTGATTTTTGGATAACCGCACTAACTTCTGTGGTGGGCTGTGATGCGTTTCTGTGGTATGCTACGTAAACTAGGGCTTTGAGTTCGTAGCAGCTGTTTACTCGAAGTGTACAGCTTGGCTCTTGGCTTTATCGCAAACTGAATAGTCGTTGGAGACGGGTCTGCTAGAGGTCTCCAGCAATTTATCTGGTGAGGCTGCCAGGTCATCTAGTGGAACTGTCTAGAGCGTCACTAACACAGTTTGCACCGGTTGTGGTAGTTTTGAGACAGTTCTCGTAGAATGCCATCATCCAACGTTCGCGTGTCCATAACCTCTGGCATGCGCACGAGGACTTCAGTAGCTGAGTTGCTGCCTGGCTCGATGTTGTGAAGCGTTTCGTCTAGGGGCTGACAATCTGCGAGATCACTACTTCAGTAGTGCAGCTTCGGGGGTGCATGGGGATCACTTACCTCAGGACTAAACGCATGCGCTGTAACATACTTGTTTAATTCCCGTGGTAGTGAATGTTTGACAGCAATAAATCAAGAATGTGGATATACTACTCCACGTTTTCGGAAACCTGCCTTGGCATACCGAAACCATGCTTCTGCATTATCTGGCTTAATACGGATAAGCTTTGCAGTATGGTCTGATATGGGAGGCAGTTGTATGTGGACATATAAAAGCTGTGAAATGAAAACAATACACAAGTAAAAAATGGGACGGGCTCACCGGTTTTAGATTTGTTCTTGGTTGTGACTTGTTTTCACGCCGGGCTCACCAGTTAAGAAAATGGCCTGGTGGAAACTTGACAGACGCAGGGGCCAATCACTAATTATTCGAACTTGTTATACACCCATAAATACGAGACCAAGAAAAAACGCAATAGCTTAGCCAGGTGGAAAAGTATATTTACGAGGTCGTGCCAAGTTACCGATGCGTTTCAACTAACTGGCTACAGAGTCGATTAGGAGCAGTGCAACGTAACAGGATGGCATGTCAAATGGCAAGGGTGCCTGACCGGGAACCTTCAGCGTAGCAAGTCCACGTAAACCATGAGTGGGACTAATACTGACTGACAAGCAAAATACCGGCTCCAATTATCCAACAGATGCTTCCAGAGCCGGCGCAGTATTGCACTTCATGAGCAGACAACTGGGTGCCGCGATCTTAGAACTCCTTTTGAAGCTATATAAGACCTACATACGGCCTCGCCTAGAAGTCCTTAAGGTCATTTCACCGCCATATCTGAAAAGGGACATGAACCTCCTGGAGAAAGTCCAAAGGCGAGCTTCAAAGTGTCGCGTGAATGAGGCGAAAAACATATCAGGACAGGCTGGAAGATCCAGGGCTCCACTCCCTAAGCTACCGCAGGTTACGTGGTGACTTGATAACGGCTTACAAAATGCTAAGTAACCCAAGTCATCTGAACAGCGGAAACCTACCAAACGGCCAATGTGGCTATCCTCGTGTTAACCCAAGGAGAATCGCCCACCAAAGAGCTTCGCTCTTTTCTCTCTCTCTCTGCTAGCTTGCAGCCGCTGGAACTCATTGCCTGCCGAGGTTGCTGCTACACCGTCTGCTGACAGCTTCAAGAAGAAGTTGGACAGTTACGCAGCGACGCATGGTTTGCGCTCATCAGACTGGGATGTGGACTAGGCTAACACGACTTACTAACTCGGTACGGCTGACCGTTGCTGAACACTTTGTAAAACCACTATCACTGAGAACTTGGCTCAACCTTATACCTTCCTGTAGATGTCCCCTCCCGTTACCATCTACTAAAAGAATCACTATATTCCTGTACGTCCTATCATGTTATTTATTATTCTTCCTTCTGACTTTACGTTCTCAAACCTTAATAAAGGCTCTTCGCGTTACTTTGTCCCCATAAACCTACCAATGTTTATTTTTCCATGCAGTTTCCTTTTTCCTAGTCTTTTTTCCTTCTCTTTTTCTATTTGTCTTTCTCTGCACTTTCTCTCCCTTGATTTCTCTGCACATATTTTTCATCCCCTTTTTACAACCACTCCGACAAATTGTCTGCTGGCACGACACTTGAGGAACCCATGTGCAGCACAGTCTCCGGAAGAAAACACAAACAAACAGCACTCCCTACACATTTAACCAACACACAACCGCCCGTCGGGCTAACCAGAGCTACGGCAGTCGAGTAGGTAGACCTACTGCATCGGAATCTACCAAAGACTTGAAACCATTCCGCAAGGCCTAGAAGCGAGCATGAAGAAATCAATTGGTTTACACTATCTCTCAAAAGATATTGGATGTTGGAGATCATAAAAAGACATTGGACGTCGAAGCGGATATTCCAAGGCTTTGCGTAACTCCTGAGCGATGTCTAAAGAAGTGCCAAAGCTTGACCCATTTAGGACGAAGGCAGAACTCAAGGGTAAAAAGCAAAAGCGATCTCAGGGTTCCTCACATTATCGACCTAAGGCACCAACTGAACTTACACGCTTGCCAGCTTTCAAAGGTAGTGTATAACAAATCATGAATGCCTATATATAGACGTCTCACCATCGGAGCATCAGGAGCTCTTTATTAAGAAACTTCACCAGTGTTGCGTCGTTTTCAACTTTGAGGAGTCAACGTCTGATATTAGTAGTAAAGAAATCAAACGCACATTTCTAAGTGAACTGGTTGAATATATAAGCGTAACACGGAATGCGTTGAATGAGTCTGTCTACCAACCAATTGTATCTATGGTTTGTTCAGCATATTGATTTGAATTTAGTCTATTGACAGATTGCTTGCAATATTTTTCGTCCATTGCCACCTTCTGATAATCCAGATTTTGATCCTGAGGAAGATGATCCTGTTCTTGAAGCAGCCTGGCCACACCTATCAGTAAAATTTTTTCACTTTTAACCTCATCCCTGTAGTATGTTTATGAATTCTTTTTGCGCTTTCTCGAGTCACCTGATTTCCAACCTGTCGCTGCCAAGAAATACATTGATCAAAAATTTGTCCTGCAGGTAAATCATTGACTTTGTAGTATATGAATTAGCTTCTGGAGCTGTTTGATAGTGAGGATCCTCGAGAACGCGAGCTACTAAAGACTGTGGTACATCGTATTTACGGAAAATTTCTAGGATTAAGATCTTTTATACGCAAGCAGATTAACAACATATTTTTGAGGTAATAATATTAAAAGGACGAAAGTCACTTTTAATTCTTTTAGGTTTATATACGAAACAGAACAGTTCAATGGTGTTGGAGAGTTGCTCGAGATATTGGGTAGTATTATTAACGGTTTTGCATTACCGCTAAAATCTGAACACACTCGATTTTTGGCCAAAGTGCTAATACCGCTTCACAAAGCTAAATCTTTAGTAACCTTTCATCCACAGGTAAGTTTTTAAATTTTCGGAAATATACCACTTACAATGGTGATAAGGGTGACCAAGATACCGGTTTAAGTTATTTGTGGTGTTATGACAGTACTTTAATTACAACGACGCCCTCTGCTTGTGGCATGACCTCGTGATGATTTAGGTTCTTTATCATTTTCCTGAGGACGTGTACCAGGTAGTGTAATGCTATAACGAGCGTTTAAAATAAAATTAATACACTCTGCGTTACTACTCGAAATTTTAGACTTCTTGATATCGTCTTATATCTTCCTGATTTGTAAGTTATGTCGGTGAGTAGCATCAGTCTGGTACAGTCAAAGTAGTTAATGAAAGTTTACTGGAAGACAATTTTCTGATTAGCGATATCTTCTGAGATTTGGTATTTGTGAATGAAAGGTAGCATTATACTTGGTGAGATATTTGTTGGATACTGTCTTGTGAATAGCCTCCTATGAACTTTGAGTCTTTATCCAAATGGTAAAAACTGTATGCTTACATCAGTTCTTGAGTCTCTCTAACCATAGTAGGCAGTTCTAAAACTTGTTTTGAGTTTTGACTGCTAGGAGATAAAAGTTTCCTGATTGCTGTAAAGCGTGTCTGACCTGGCAGTTTCAGTTTAAGAAATCTAACGCTGTAATATGGTAATTGTAGTCTCATAGGAGATTATATAAGTTTTGATAAAACCCCAATGTGTTTAGAAAATCAAAACAAGGCTTTCTTGAACGTTTCGCTGTGTATGCCATAGCTTCTTCATGGTAATATCACTTAAAAAGTGTTTGGCAAAAGAGTTCGTCGGAATAAAGTATATTTAACAGGTGTATTTATCCTGTTGTATCTAGTCATGTTTAGTTATGTCATATTCTAACAACACTGGTAATCAGGTTTGCTATGTCCCATGAACTTTTTTGCTAATCAAAACTGATAGCTTATACACTTTCAGATTTGAATAGAAAATCCGTTTGACACTTTCAAACTCACCATACATGGAGGCAACGAGATACAAATATGTATTTTGCAGTACATCAATCTAGAGGTTTGTGGGTAATTAATTGGTCTCAATGAAAGGTCGTGTTCGCAGCTTGGGTGTTCAATTTTAGGAGGAAACAGTGCTCCCAGTTTTTCAAGGGTTCTTTGCTTGATAATAATCTGCGATTGAAACCCTTTTAATAATGTAGTAATGTTTTTAGGATACAGGATGTTGTGCGTTTAAGATACAAGACAAGTTGGTAAGTTCATAGCCATCTGCATTTGTACAATATCATCCTTTTCTGGCTGAACCTCAGTAAATGACTGTTACAGTTTGATATTACATAGAACCTAAACCAAAGGTGATATTTGGATATCACGAGGTTACAGTCTTCATATGCTTGAACTCACTTTGGTGAATGACATTTAGACATCACGGATAATACTAAGAACTGTCCATCTTATGTGCTTGTGAATAGGCTGTTTGTAACCACAGTTGTAACAGTTCCTTGATTCTTGCTTAGTTACCAATTCGCTTACAGTATTCTACATGAGTGAGGCTATGTTCTATTGTCTCAACTATCAGCTAATGAAATTAGCTAACTGGTTTAAAATGATGATATAGTTGCTGGGCTGTCCTGTTTTGTCTCTGTGTACTAAGACTTTGTAGTCAATTAGTACCAAAAGTAATGAGACTGGTGATGATAGACGCATTTAATTTTATCAAGAGTACTAGTAAAACACTACTACTACGAATCCCAACTGATAAATGCTATCTTGATGTCATAGTCCGGCTTCCACGCTACGGCGACTCAACGATCTATGCCGATAGAGTACTTTTTCTCTTGATCTCTTATCACATCAGAAAGATCTATTAGACAGCGGTAAGACAGAAAACTGTTACCGTTGTAGTATAATTAGATATGTTATAATGAGTGTTCAAGAGCGAAGTTATGCTGCTAACTGCATGGGAGTGCGACATCAGTCAGATGACTCCTTCGGATAACCAGCAGTTTCACGCTGATGCTGTGATTCCTGAGGAAATCGGGGTTGTAAAGGGTCAACTCTAAAAAGAGCACAGTCCTCCCTATCCTGTGGTATTGGCGTGCCGGTGGTATAGGTTTTTTTTAATCGGCATTAAAACAATCAAATCTCAAACCAAGTATCCTATTAAGGTAGTGTAGAACAGGCCTCAAGCAAATGTCCTATGGGCTCTGCAACCATGACAACATATTCCTTTTTCTCTTCTAGGTAGCTTGCACAAATAACTTCCATGATGTGGGTAACTGGGAAGTTTCAACAGTCCACACGCTCGCAATAGTATACAAAACCCAATTTAACATAACCCACCTTCCTTACCTTAACTCTCTCCATGCATTCAATTCATAATATCCCAATTAGGCTTCTTACGACTACCCCAACCTCACTCTGTAACCATTCCCAACGGTCCAAACCAGGAAAATATCGTTGCTAATCTCCTAAAACCCCGTTGTCAGTTTCACACTAAAACTTTTAATATCCGAACTCTATACCAAATCGAACAACAGGCATCTCTTGCCAAAACTCTGAAATCTCCAGCTACTGAGTTATTTTGTGTTTCTAAGACATGTATACAGGACCCAAGTGTGGTTGTTCACTTGATCTCACTTGGTCAGTGTTGTGAATCTGTAAGAATCACTTCACGAATGTCCGCAGATTGAGTGGCTGACCCTCGTGAACTCGCTGGTGTATGTATAACATTAAGTTCTCAAACAGAAAGCACTCTTCTCGACTGGATACCAGTTAAAAACCGTCTATATGCTGTCCGACAATGAATATGTAAGAACGAGGAAGGATCGTGAGACTGGGCGACACCTATTGGTAATCTTTTCCTATCCACACACCGACTGTATCTCGGGTTATGCAAAGAATGAATTCTATCAAAGGCTATCACTTTTGCTACAGGTTTGGTCGCAGTAAGAAGTGACTTTAACACTCAGGTAGGGAAGCTGAGCTAACTGGAAAGGGATCTGCAAGATATCTACGGTATCACGTACCAATTGGTTTACAATGGTGACCGCCTCTTACAATTTCCTTCTGATAATCACTTGTCTCTGGCCAGCACTAACTTCAGGCTTATGGTATCCACCGGCATCAAACCCACGATAGACACGGATAGGTCATATTGCTGTAAGCCATCGTTGGAGAGGTTAGGTAGAGGGTTGTTGTTCTATCTGGAGTACCTTTTGTAACTCCGACAACGCGATAGTACGAGTATGTATGTGTTTGCACCTTGCTTGTCGCAGTAAACAGGTCATAATGAAGCATGTGTTTGTTCGATTGGAATATGCGAATGTCAAGTGCATACTTAGGGTGGAGACAACGAAGCATTTGTTTGAACATGTTGGCAATTCTTTTCTTGATGGAACTGAGCATAATATTCAGTCCACATCTCACGCCCATCACTCAACTAATACAAACACCCTTCACACTGTTAATAAACGGCGGGATTCGGGTATTCCGACTCCTAATGCCAGCATGGTCAGTAGACAATTGACCAGGTTCGAGACTCTATCGACCACTGCTTCCGTAAACCTATTCCCAGTCAGGGGGGGGATGATAAAAGCCTCATCGCTTTGAGTTTTCGGTAGCGGCTGCTGGTGCAGTTACCCGGGTGTCTAGCGTCAAGTGCAGGATCATGTCTGATTGCAGCGTAGGACAATATCTGGGAAAGAGAGGAGAAATAGACGTGGTCACTGTGAGGAAATGGGAAACTTATCTGAAGGAACGGTCGGGGATCTGTAAAATAAAGAGCAGCCAGACCATGGTGAAGAGACAAGGGTAGTAATAGTGCTGGGAGATTTACCTGCTGTCTAGGTGAAAGCCATCATAACACTTGAGTGAGTATATTATGTTTACGAAGCACAGGTCAGGAAGACTGAACCTAGAGAGGCCTATTATCGAGTGCATAGCTCTTTCCGTTTCTTGGTATGGTAGATCTTTGATACTAACAATGAAGGAATAGCGACCTATTTTGGATGTCTTGATACCCTCTGCCAGCTTTGAGTGTTGTAGAATGGCTTTATTTCTGTGTTGTCATGCTTATTGATCTTAGTCAACCACGATTGCTGCTACATCTATAGCATATGCTGTAGCATCCCGGATAGCAATGATATCTGGTTTGAAGAAGGTTTCCAAGTACTTAATCTTAGGTTCCAGAAGAGTATCATACCCTTTTTATTGATATTTAGAATGAACTGATAAACTGTTTCATCGTGGCATGCTATCGTAACTTTTTGAGTTATTGGGCACTTTTACAGAATGTGTCAAGTCCTCTATATGCCTTTGTTTGGACTTACAGAGACATTCATAAGTAGGATTATGATCTCGTAAAGCTCGTAACTTAGTTTTCAGAGGATTACCCCTAAACCGTATCGTTCTAGTGAATAGCCAGGGGAAGGTTCTACGTGAGCTGTTTAACCACCTATCAAAGACCTTGGTTTTGTTGGCTTTTCTCATACTCCTCCTATCTCTCTTGATCATTAGTGCACCTCTCCATGCTTGCCTTGCCTGCTGCTTTGTATGTACTGTTTGGTCTCTGGTCTTTGCACTTTGACCAAACACTCAATAGTTGTATGTATAGTGAGGATAGTCAATACCGCTGTAACTATGGGATATGTTGATATTCTAACCGTCTCTTGATGGGTCTCCTCACCAAGATAGCCGTATGTAGATACTCGATCCCTAGGCCACCAACTGAAACCACCGTGTAGAAGTGAACCTTTTGGTGTGTTGTGCGCACGATGAACCCATTTCCTCAGGTAAATTCGTATTCTTAAGTCTGTTGTCTTTGTAACACAATCTGGACTGCTCAAAAGGGAGAACTAGATGGATTTTCAGAATGCTTAACCCTGGTTGAGGTTTTAAGGGTGCATCATGCACTTTGCGTAGCATCGCCTCCAACAGGGTATGAAGTTGGTTTGCATTGGACCATTCTACTTGGAGGTTAACCCTATATATATGAAAGTGTCCCCAGGAGTAAGAGGTTTGGT